AGCAGCCCGTCCCTGCGGCTGTCTTCCTGATTAAACTCCGTGTTCGTTAGCTTTTGGGCAATTAACCTTATATGTTGATTTCAATAATTAAATATGCTAATTTCAAGCCAGTTCAATATCAGCATTTAACACCAATTTGCGGATCTGCTCAAATTGACCCAAAGGAGATTAATAGCATCTCACAGCAATTCACCTCCGACCTACTGCGTGTAAAGAGCCTGGCTGCCTCTTCCCCACAGCCCTGAGGCTTGTGTCACTGGATAAAGATCCCCCAGTCACAGCCACATAAATGCAAAGTGGTGGGACCAAAACTTTCACCAAATTCAAGCTGTGATCTGTGTGGGCCAGGGCACCCCACCCCAGGTGAGGAGTCCTGCCCTGGGGAGGAGGAGCCTGCAGCCCACTCCGTGGGCCTGGGCAAGACTAGGGCCAGAGGCACAGGCTTCCCCTGGTGTGGGGATGGTTGTGATGTGGGCCACCCCCTCCTGGCTCACCCTATCCCACAAGGCCCTGGAGCCCACAGTGGGCAGCCCCCTGCCCAGCTGCAGTGTCTGGGAGCACATTCTCACCTGGCCTTTGGTCCTGGATCCAAGGTGGCTAGTCCTCACCAGCAGCCTCTGCAGCTCCAGGGTAGGAAAGGGCTTCAGAGTCTCCCACCATGGGCCTTCTTCCATGCCAGGGAGGAAGGGGAGGGTACAGCGTCCCCAGTACCCAGGCTCACTGCCTTCTGGGCACTCAGACCCATGGAGACCCACCCTCACTTTCCCAGCGGCCACCAGGTGTCGCACCTGGGCCTGAGATAAACACTGCAGTTGCGTCCTGTCCAGGCCACAGCACCCCTATGGGACGAAGTAGAGCCGTTTCCTGGACCTGTCCCCGGCAATAAATCTTGATGGAAACAGACTACCACATTTCTCCCGAGGAGCGCCTGGTGGGGTTGAACTGCCAACCTTTCGGTAAATAAACAAGCATGTAACCGTATGCCACTCAGCTCCTGGGCCTGGGATGGAACCAAAGACACTCACAGCCATTGAGCCGATGTCAATGCTTATCCCCCTTTAGGGCTTGGGCAGGAATACGGAAAATCCGGGAACTGACAGAAGAACAGAGGAATGTGTCTTAAAGAAGCACAGACAGCATGTTCCTCAGAAGCAAGGATGGGAGACGTCGGTCCACATACGTTGGACATGTTCTCAGAAGAGATGGATCCCTGGACAAGGACATCGTGTTTGGTCAAGTAGGGGGTGATGAAGAAGAGGAAGACCCCCTAGACAGACTGACATTGTGGCTTCTGCAGTGGGCTCAAACGCAACAGCACTCGTGAGGCTTGTGCAGGACCAGGCCGTGTTAGCTATGGGCCAAAGCTAACAGCAGCAATAACCCCTTGAGTTTCCGAGGCTGTAAAACTTTTCAGAAGCAGAAAGCTTCATCTTCATCCCATGGAATGGCTAGCAAGTTCAAACTGCTGCCCAGTATGAGACCCGCTGCCTGCCGGGCTCCTTTCCTGAGACAGGAAGGGACTGAGGACCTAGGGATCTACAGGGAGCTGTAGACCTGGGCACCGAACATTAGCCTGGGGATGGGGATGATTAGACCCAGTGCCATGTTCTGTGGGTTTGGGGATGTCACACCACATGGAAGAAGCCAGAGAGAGTTCCATGCCCATCACATGGGGCCACAGGCTTAAGTAGTGGCTGCGATGTGGGGTGCTGACTCATCTCCCACTGGACTTGGGGATCCTTGAACCAGGCTTCTGACTTCCCATTCACCAGGTGCTCCAGCAGGCTGGTGGGCTGCCTCACGACCTTCCAAGCCTGCCTCTGCAGAGTGCCCAGCGGTCTCACCCAGGTCTGCCCATCTAGCTCTGAGGGAGTAAGCTGGGGGGCGGGGGGTGCCCAGTGGGGAGCAAGCAACCCAGGGGTGAGGAAGATAGGGACTTGGGTCTGAGCAAAGCTTCATAGGGGAGACCTTGGCAATGGGCTGGTCCCTAGCTGAGCCCTCACTTCTCCATCTGAGAAGTGGGAGCAAGAATGACCCAGCCTTGTCTCCCTCCCAGGGCACAATGGAACGGTGGACCCTAGGGGAGCCCAGTGAGTGCTCAGGATGGAGGTGTCTCCTCCCTCTTCTCTCAACACCCCAACGGGTGTGCTTCCACAGGTGACTCAAAGGACGCTGAAGGTGGGCCCCCATCTAGGTACTTGGAAAGCCAGAAGCCAAACCTTCTATATGGTGCAGGAAGGGGAAGGGCAGGGGGTGGTGCCCAGTGCCTGCGGAGCTTAAACAGCAAAGTCTACAGTAGGTCCCTCCATGCCTTGGCAGCTGCAGGCGACTGGGACAGAACAGCTTTCCTCCATCTGGTCTGGCTGGCTCATGCTGCCACCCAGGGCTGCCCTGCACTGAGGGTTCCCTCCTTTCCCAGAATGGACACACACACACACACACACACACACACAGGGCCTCAAACCCTTCTCCCTTCCTGAAGTGCAACATATAACTCATACATGGCCTTTCTATACTTGATCATATAACTTCCACAACATGATTGGCTGGCACTATGGTACTTATACTCCAAGGGATTGATTAGCTCCCATTCAAGTGATTCGTTGTCTACTGAGGGGCTCTGTCAGTTGATTGTCCTGGCAGGAGGGCCATGACTTGGTAAGAAGTAAGCTTACATAAAGACCAATGGCACAGAGGATCAGGGGAGACTTCACTAGGAAGGGGGGGTCAGGAATGGAGTGGTCCTTTGGACCAAGGATCTGGGGTCCCTGTGCTAAGAATCTCCTAGTCCCAGAAAAAAAAGCAAACCATGAAGAAAGTCCAAGCTCTCTCTCCATAGAGAGAGCTGAATGCCTTCGGACAGCTTGCTTGGAAGCTAGAAGAGTCCTAATGTTCAACCCTGCAGAGCAAGAGAGGCCCAGTGTGTCCTGTGCACGGGTTGCAAGCCTACCCCCTCTGGACAGTGGGAACCCAGGTAGCATGGTGGCAAGAGACCTCCCAGACCCAGGTAGCATGTTGGGAGCCTGCAACAGAGTCTTAGAAAAGTTTAGCAGAGAAGGCTCTGGATTCCTCCAGCATCACAGCCCAGTGGCAGCGCCAAAGCCTGGTGCGCCGAGCGAGCACGGAGCAGGGGGTGAAAGCTGGAGGCGACAGTGACATCAACACAGCCTCTGGCATCTGACCTGCAAACGGAGGATGACTGCTGTTTAAAGCAAGACAGAATGAAACGCTGCACCGTCCTCCCAATTGTTCTTAAGTTTGAGACATTGTTGAGGCCACGGTGTCCACCCACCGCATCGAGGGTCCTCTTTTTGGCCGCCCCTCTACCTTCCCAAGCATTATGTCCTTCTCCAGGGACTGGTCTCTCCTGGCAGCATGTCCAACGTATATGAGATGAAGTCTGGCCATCCTTGCCAATAAGGAGTATGCTGGCTGCACTTCGGCCAGGAGCGATGTGTTGACTCTCTAGGCAGTCCCTGGTGCTCTCCATCCTTCGCCAGCACCGCAATTCAAATACATCCACTCTTCTTCGGTCTTCCTTGTTCAAGGCCCAACGTTCACGTGCATATGACGCCATTGGAAGCGCCATGGCTTGAGTGAGGTGCACTCCAGTGCTCAAAGTAACATCCTCGCTTTTCAACACCTTAAAGAGGTCTTGTGCAGCTGATTCACCCAACGCGATGCGTCGTTCGACCGCCGCTTCCATGAGCATTGATTATGCCTCTAAGCAAAATGAAAAATCCTTTCCCATTGATCATGATGTGACCTATTGGTCTAGTTGTGAGGATTTGGGTCTCCCTGACAT